TTGAAAGGAACAGAAATGAACTGATTCAGATGTGCATTTGAACTGAAGCTTCAGAAAACATGCAATATGCTACCATAAAAGGCATGAATTCAGTTTTGCAACCTTAAAGTGCTTCACAAACTATTCAACAAAATGGTCTATAGTTGCACGAACTTGTGAGGATTTTAGTGACATTTCCACATGCAACATTATGTATTATAGCTAGACCGTTAATGACAATACTACCGTTTACAAACTACAGTGGCACCACCAGTATTTTGGAGTCATTATATCACAATACTACCATAGTACCGGTAAACCGTGGAACCTTACTCTCTACTAACCCAATCCTAAATTAACAATAAGTGCAGAGTAAATAACAAAGCATTAAATAATTAAATAAATAAACTCACAACCAAAGAGTTTCTAAGGCAAAACTCCATGAGATGAGCAAACAGCAAACAGAACTTGAACAAATTAAAGCTTCTAATCAACAGATAATGTTTTAAAGCAGACAAGTCTAAACTCATTCCTGAAGGGCCGGTGTCCTGCAAAGTTTAGTTCCAACCCCAATCAGACACACCTGGGCTAGCTAATCAAGCTCTTACAAGGCTTTCTAGACACAACTTGCCTCAACACACCTGCAAGGATGGAGCTAAAATCTGCAGGACACAGGGCCTTCAGGAACAAGTTTGTAAAGCCTTTGTAAAACCACACACACACACACACAAAACACACAGTTCTAGTGAAGACATGCTGCTCCTCTCATCCTCATCCTCTTCTCATAACAAATGACAATCAGTTGTAGAGCTGCTCATAGCTGATTAACGTATTTTAGAACCGGTTGAATTTACTCCATTAACTGATTTGACTGGAATGATGACTACTGTTTTTGTAGAGCAGATTTAGTCTCATGAAGCTCGCATCATTAATTCTGTTATTTATTTTTGTTTATAACACTGAATCTGCTCTAATCGATATAATATAAACCTCTGTATAAAAACACTGTCTGTGATTTGACAATTCTAGGATAAACACTAACCCCTGACTCAGCTGAACAAAGAAAAAAAGCTGAGGAAGCTTCTTACAGGTGGTCCAACTCTTGAAGGTTTCATTTGTTTAGTGGCAGACACACAATCCAGGACTGTGTTCCATTCTGAAGGGATTTTCCCTAAGTACTCATCTAGAGGTATGCAGTCCAGTTGCTGTAAGACCACTTACCTGCAGAGTTCAGCTCCAACTCTAATTAAACTCACTCGAACCAGCTATTCAAGAGCTTCAGAGTCACTAGAAAATTCCAAGTGTTTTGGAGCCAAACTCTGCAAGGCATTGGTCCTCCAGGAGTAGGATTGCACATCCTTTGAAAGTTTTTTCTTCCAAAGAGAGAGAGAGAGAGCTTCAAATGTATAAATGGTGTAGGAGGCTAAAAAAAAAATTGTCTATTGGAATGTGCTTCCGCATCAACTGGGATTGAAAGTGTACCTCAGTAGCACCATTCAAAATTCTTGATTGGCCTATAAAGTGGCCAGTTTTGGACACTTCTGAATGGAATGAGTCCACATTATCGTAGTTATGACTGTCCCCACTCCAAAGTACCCTTCAGAGATGGATTTATCCCAGTTGGAGAACAGTGCAGGTTTCCAAAAGGACTGCAGACTAATTGTGAAACAGCTCCACCATCAGACTGCCCTCCAGACACTCATCTACATGCTCCACAAGCATGCCAAGCCAGCCAAGCACTTGCAGAGCTGGACAATATATTCAAGAACTTGTTCATGGAGCCCTCGACTTCAGAATAGTGTGAATAACACTCAAGCATAATGGAGAGTAAACCACCTGCGGGATTGAAGAGTTATAAGTGCTTTAGCATGTGTAACAACTGACTTATGATATTGCTTTTAGTCACCGGATAATCCCACCATGAAGTTTAAACACCTCCTGGGACATGTGGGTGCTTCAACTCTGTTACATTTGTCTTAGGAACTCAGGTATAGGAACTAGCCACAAGGTCAGCACCCAGGTATATCCTGCTAACGTTAGCATTCTGAATGTGTAACACTTTAAAATATGGTGCAAGTGTTTTGTATGGCTAACAGTATGCTTGATTCTTTGTAGTTTTTATTGTGCTGGATTAGACCCCACTCTGAAATTAGGAACTAATTTAATTCTCCAATGAGTTAATAGGAATAGGAACTACAGTAATCTGAAGGCCTCTACTCTTGTTGGCTGGCAAACTACAGCACTTGCTACTTCTTCATGAAACCAGTAACATGGCCAGCCAGTCCCATCACACTTGGAGAGTTTATGCTGAACATCTTGTTATATAGAAAGAGTATTGGTTCCAGTAAGCTGAACATTTATTCGGTCTGCATCTGACCAGTTTGGAATCCAAATTGTCTTAGGAGAGAACATCGGGAACAGTGTGTTTGCTGTACACTGCAGGAGAGTGCTGAGACACAGTGGAGCATTTACTGTGACTGCACTATTAATGTTTAACACCATTTTTACAATATAGGTCTAACAGGCTAGATTTTTAATTGGTTATTTGTCATCCAGGAGACACTTTTACAGTACACTAATTTTACAGAGTCCACCTGGATCTACATCAGGTTAATTAGTTTGCTCAGAAGCACAACCCAGAGACTGGATTTCGCCAACTCCAGCTGATGAGCTGCACATTAGTTTCATAACCATTACAGAATTTATAAATTCAGATAAGCTACTGTAACGCCATAACAGTTTTAGTTTTACATGAAAACTGCACAATAGGGTTTGGCTAATACTACTTAATATAAAATACATGGTGACAAGAATGCAGACTTTTTTAAAATAGAGAAGCATCGAAATGAGGGTCAAAACTAGAATCTGGGTTGAAACTAAAAAATCTGCATGCACTTGGCCAAAAACTGAACCAAAACATGCTTTTATTTCATTAAATAAAGTAACTTTTTAAGATTTTTAAACTGTAACACAAATATGAAAAAAGACAGTACAGTAGAACTATTGCAAGCAGCAGAAACAAGTTTACTACAAATAAATGATTGGTCAGCACATTATTTGAATGGACTTTGCCTTTCCAGTAAGCATGTGCAGGCAGGACTTGACATTAACTCTGATCATCAGCCACTGTGGCTGGTAGTTTTCCAACATTACTAGCCATTCACCATTTTCACAAGCCACGGTTTTGTTGTCGGGAAAATATATTTTACAAGCATAAAATTTGACTTTGGCATGATAAAATTACATGATTTAATTTTAATTTCCACATGCGGCATTATTTATTTCACTTTTTTTGTGTTGTGTATGATCTTGCTAAATGAGCATGAGCAAATGGGTTGTGGTTTCATAGTGTCGCATTGCAATTAGTTTTTGCTTCACATGACTTTTCATGGCTTAACACTAAGAATTCACCATTTTTTTCTTTAGCCACACCAAAAATAAATAAATCTTAGCCTAAAATAGCTATAAGCAAAAGAAAGCAGGTGAAAAACATTCCGTGTGCGATAATGAAAAGACGATCATGTAAAAGGTTCAAGTGAAAGCAACCTGCTGCTTACAAAAATCTGGAGCACATGAAAGCAGCAGGATTGTGGGTACACGCGTGATGATTTTTGTTTTAAAGAAACCCAATTGCACCAGTTACGTTTCCAGGCACAGATGCTTCACTCAAGGAACAGTTTCTTTTTTTAAACACTTGCGTGCATCACATCACCTGAAATCAGCCTTGACACTGAAGCCCTCAGGATCGCCTGTGTCTCACCCTGTGCATTATTATCCTCCCATTTGGTTTTCGACTGCTTTCTTTTGCTCACGCGAACAATTTATGATTGTCATCTCTCACGCCGGCCCTAAATATTTCAGTTAAATGTTCTTAATGAATCAGATTTTGGTAACACTTTACAATAAGGTTCATTAGTTAATGTATTTACTAACATGAACTAATTATGAACAACACATGTACAGCATTTATTAATCATAATTAAAAATTTACTAATGCATTATTAACATCCAAGTCTATGCTTGTTAACATTAGTTAATGCACCATGAGTTAACATGAACTAACAATAAACTACTGTATTTTCATTAACTAACGTTAACTAACATGAACAAATACAGTAGTAAATGTATGGTTTATTGTTTGTTCCTGTTAGTAAATGCATTCATTAACATTAACTAATGAACCTTATTGTAAAGTGTGACCCTGATTTTTTATGTTAAAATGTAAATACTGTTACTTAATGGATAAGACAATTTAAAAAAAAAAAGTGGAATTTACCATGGAAACTTGAACGTATAACAGTTTGGTATATTCACCTTTGGCCCGTCAACCTCAATCAAGTTTGGTTTTTGGCCCTTCATAAGAAAAAGTTTGGGCACCCCTGATCTACAGCTACTTCACAAGACTCTAGAATTGTAAACACCAACTCCAACGGGTTCGCGCGGCTCTCTGTCCTGCCCACATTGGTCACAGTTACCAAGCCAAACCATCTAAAGCTTGCGATACGTGTCGTTGCAACATGTAGTTATTTATTTTTTTAAAAGGTGCGTGTCGGCCACGGCGATGGCTATGCAACTGCGCAAATGCTGCACCAGAGCATATGTGTGCGATTGACGCAGAAGTATAAATCAGCCTTTAGCCACCACAGCACATGCATAGAAACGTGTATGGCAGGACCATAGCCATCCTGGTCAAAGGGGTTGTGGACAAATTAAGTCAAAATAGGACAAATGAGTTGATGTATGGGACAAATTCTGGTCCAGAATCCAGAATTTGTCCCATACATCAACTCATTTGTCCTGCTTTGACTTAATTTGTCCTCAGAACTACCCGAACCCCCACTGGCTACAGGCCTGTATGGGTACACTTGCACTTTAGTCAGCCCAGTCATTTCTACCTTAGGTGTGAAAGCCAAGCAATGCTGCATAGCCTTTTTTCACAGCTCATATTTTTGGCAGTTTCTCTTTCAGCTAAAAACTGAAAATGCCGATTTCAGTCAATAAATTTGTCAATCAACAACAAACATTTGGTCATCATTTATTTACCCTTATGGCATTTCAAACCTGTATGACTTTTTTCTTTAATAAGAAAATGATATTTTTAAAAACACAGGAAATTAAACAACAGAGCTACTGCATTTTCTAGAGTGGATAAAATATATTGTATTATTTTACACAAAAGAAAGCTTTGCAAAAAAAAAAAAAAACATACGCACAGCTAAATAATGTCAACTTTTGTTTTTGGATGAAGTTACAACTGTTTTTATCACCATCTTTAAGATTTAAGAACTATAAGAGATTAATCAGAAGTAAAAAGACAAAATAGGTTTATTTCCTTGACACATTTAGGGCACTAAATATAACTATCAAACAGTGTACTTTTCTTCCCCTTGTCTTTGAGATTTGTGATAGTGTGTGTAACTACTGTACAGTTCATTGAACACCTCCTTGACGCCCATTTGAAGGGTGGTGTTCAAAAACTTGATGTCTTGTTCAACACAGTGGTCCAGAATGCAGTATATTCCCTCTGTTAGATGTGCCTTGATTTCTGGCTGAAGCGTCACCTAGAAAATAAGAAAAAAAGTATACAATGACAGCAATTATCGGCAAAGTGCGCTGATGTGATTCAGTGCAGTAACACGAGCCTCAGGTCACTCAGAAGGTCAAACACACTTCACAATTCAAGTGAACAAAAACAAATGGTTCTCAGATTGCGTTGGACAACATGTTGATCCTTCAGTTTAAGGTTAACACAACCTCTCATCTGTTAGAATAACATTACTGCCAAGAGTTCAAGACATGGGACGTGAACTCTAAAGCTGTAATAGTGTGTTTTTGAGATTTATAGCAGTGAGAAGACTCTGCTCAAACACCGTAGCAAATATTGACTTAGGCAGACGGTTCACAAGATCACAAAAGAAACATTTGAGCCGAAATTGGCATGGGCATGAGGTAGGTGAGAAACAGGGCTTGGCGATATGACAAAAATCTTATATTACGATACAAGTCATCTTATCCTGATAACGATATAGTACTTTTAATTTCACTTATTTCTGTAAATTTAATCAATTAATGATTATACATGCATACATACACTTGACACATCTTGACTTAGATTTGAAAGTATTCCAAATTTACTCATTGATTTGCGATCAGATTTCTTACCTTATATAAAAATTCAGGGCAAATCTTTGATTTTCAAAAAATAATGGATTACAAGCATAAAATATCACTACATAAAATGCTAAATTTAAATATTGCTAAACTGTTATTGATGTTTCTGTTTGCATGGCTTTTGCACAAATTATTTTTTAAAGTATTAACGTAAACAATGTATTTTGCAACACCACAATGTAAACAATAAAACATAATGTGAATCTATAGACTTTTTATTTTGTCCATTTAGGAAAGAAGCGTGATTTAAGTGACTTAAGTGACAAGGCATGGTTGCTGGTGCCAGACAGGCTGGTTTGAGTATTTCAGAAACTGATGACCTACTGGGATTTTCACACACAACCATCTCTAGGGTTTACAGAGTATGGTGTGAAAAAGAGAAAACATCCAGTGAGCGGCAGTTCTGTGGGCACAAATGCCTTGTTAATGTCAGAGGTCAGAGGAGAATGGCCAGACTGGTTCCAGCTGATTGAAAGGCAACAGTAACTCAGATAACCACTCATTACAACGGATGTATGCAGAAGAGCATCTCTGAATGCACAACACATCCAACCTTGAGGCGGATGGACTACACAAGCAGAAAACCACACCAGTCAACTAAGAACAGGAAACTAAGGCTACAATTCACACAGGCTCACCAAAATTGGACAATAGAAGATTGGAAAATAATGGCCTGGTCAGATGAGTCTCGATTTCTGCTGTGACATTCGGACGGTAGGCTCAGAATTTGGCATCAACAAGATGAAAGCAAAGATCCATCCAGCCTTTTATAAATGTTTCATGGTGTGTTGGTGGTGTAATGGTGTAGGGGATATTTTCTTTGGGCCCATTAGTACCAATTGATCTTCTGATGGCTACTTCCAGCAGGTTTATCCGTGTCATTAAACACGAATCATCTCAGACTGGTTTCTCGAACATGACAATGAGTTCACTGTCCTCAAATGGCCTCCACAATTACCAGATCTCAAACCAATAGAGCATATTTGGGATGTGATGGAACAGGAGATTCACATCATGGATCTGCAGCAGACAAATCTGCAGCAACTGTGTGATGCTATCATGTCAATAAAGACCAAAATCTCTGAGGAATATTTCCAGTACCTTGTCGATCTATGCCACAAAGGATTAAGGCAGCTCTGAAGACAAAAGGCAGTCCAACCCGGTACAAGTAAAGTGTACCTAATTAAGTGGCCGGTGAGTGTTTATTACTTTTTTCTTTGTCATGATGACAGTACATAATATTTTACTAGATATTTTTAAAGACACTAGTATTCAGTTTAAAATAAAATTTAAAGGTTTAACTAGATTAATTCAGTTAACTAGACAAGTTTGGGTTGTAACGCAAATCATTGTAATTAGGCAAGTCAAACAAGGGAGCTTATAATATTGACCTTAAAATGTTAGTTAAAAAAAGAAAAAAAAAAATGCTTTTATTTTAAGCGACATAAAACAAATAAGACTTTTCCAGAAATTTTTTTTTTATCAAAAATACTGCAAACAATTCCTTGCTCTGTTGAACATCATTTGGGTAATACTAAAGTAAAAAATAAATTAAATCACACACACACACACAACACAACACGTTTCAGTAAAGACTGAAAATAACTAGCAACTTACCCTCTGCAGTTCACTGACGTATTGCGCGACCATGAAGGAGGACAGGACAGTGAAATCTTCAGCAGCACTGGCAACATGAGTGTACATCCTCTCCACCAGCCTAGCACACTTCAGAAGACTCTCTCTGTCTTTCTCAGAAGCTGAAAGCAGACATATCACAAAGCAATTCTGATATTTTAATTGGAACTGTCAAAACAGACTTGTTAACGCATGTGATTCATTATGCTAAATGCAGCTGGAGCGCTTAATTAAAACTATAACCCTGATTCAATTAATGTAAACCATGAACCCACTCTCTAAAACCACGTCACGTCAGCAAACCCTGTGATTTATTTCAACACAGACAGAATTCAGCAATATGTGTGATGTGGTAGGAACATTTTAGGTTTGATATTCCAAAACACTATCATGTAATGCACCTCAAATTATCATATAATCTAACCTAATGGGTGATTATTCTCATTAAGGCTGCAAATATATGAAATAAAATATAGTACAGTCAAAATCAGTAATAAAGATTTTATTATGTGTTCAAATTTAATTTAGTAATTCTCAGTAGAAATTTTTCCAGTCTTTAATGTCACATGATCCTTCGGATATTATTTTAAAGTTGGCATAAAGTCAAAATACAGTTATAAACAATGTACATGTGCACTCATTATTTTGTTCACATTGATTTTGCCCTCATCAGTTTTAAATCCCCTCAGTATGACTACAGACTGAACCACAAAGCTGAGGACTGGTGGGGGATAACGGGAGTTTTCTAGAAGAAATAACAAAACGGGAGGATGGCAGGAGATGGGCCTGAAATATGGGAAATTTTCGGGAAAACCGGAGTATTGGCTGGTATGCCTTAGAATCATTATCACCACCTACTTGATTTTACAAAAATGGTGATTGGCGAATTTTGGGTTTCCATTTCAGTCAATGTTTCATTATTATATTGCAAAGATCATTTTAACATCCATGCAGTTTTGGTACTCATGTTATGTAAATAAAAATAATTAATTAAAACACCAATGACTATTATTTAAGCAAATAAATCCTATTCAATGGCCAGAGTAAAATATTAATATAGTGTTATACATCTATTAAATATAAAAACATTTTTATTACATAAAGATTTATTATAGCCTGTACATATTAACTTGCTATTATTTCCTTTATTATAATGAATCCATTATATAAATTGAGCCCGTCTAATTTAGATCAGCAGAGCCAGCTTACGAGTATCCGCTATACTGACTCGGTTAAATGATGACTGATAGAAAACTGTTCAGTCGATAATATTAATGTGATCAGAAAACAACATTCCCCATTCACCCGTCTCGAACGTGAAATAGTATACGCTATTGTCTATTGATATACTGATCTATTGATAATAATGTATTGATGGCAAGGTCCGTGTAGACGTTAATAACATTAACATCCGTCATAATCATATATGGTTGGCCCCTGCTTAGATTGTGTGTCCTGGATTGTGTGCTGAAATGTGTGTGGGTCTGCGGGTCTGCACCTGGCTATTATTGTCCAGGACTGAGTTTGGACACCCCATATTACAACATTAATGCTGTAAAAGGAAAGGTTCTAAACTGAAAATATTTAAACATAAACCTTTCATCGGAGGTTTATCGTTGGCTGAAAAACACTAGTTGTGCATATAGCCCATTGGATGTACATCACTATAGAAGAAAAGGCTAACTTCTGTTTCATGTCGAATTTAACGACCAGATTTGGTTCTCAAAAAATTTATGATTATCATTGTTTCAAACACTAGTGCTGCTTAATATTTTTATGGACCTCTAAGATTTTGTGATCAAAAAACAGCATTTATTTACATTTGTAAAAGTCTTTTTTGTCACTTTCGACCAGTTTAATCCATATTTCTTAATAGAATGTTCAAATCTTAATAAATCTATTAACTAACCCATACATTTCAATGAACATCTGTCCGATGTCTTCAAATCTGGGGAATTCTATTCAAAATTTCCAAACTCATTAACTTCACAAGTGATTTATTTCAAAGACATCTCAGTTAAAACACAAGAAACAGGAATCCTGATTAAATCGCTTCAAAGTGACATTATCTTTGGATCCAGACAGAACAGAGTGATCATGCAGTCAAATTCAGGCTTTGAGAAAGTTACCATAAGAAGTTCAATAAGACCGAAATTGCCTCACATCTGAATACATTTCAGTTCTGACCGAGCTTTGAAGTCAAAATGAAAGTCTGCGAAACGAAGAAAGACTAAATGTACTGATGCTACTCCAAAAAAATAGAAAGAGGCTTTAAACCTCAGAGTCATAAATAGAGTTCTCAATTCAAAAGGGATACGCCTTCAGTGGTAAAATGTGTTGAGCCTTGAGCTTCGGGATCAAATTCAACCTTCAGTCTTCATGGAATTTTTTTCTCCTTCACTTCACTTTGAATTTCAATCCAAAGAGCCACAGTCTGCGAGCGCCTGTCTCTGAACACAGCTCAACGAGGCGCTTGTCTCATTAGGTGAATCATACCTCTGAAATAACATATCTTTCTCTCTGCACAATAAAATCAGGGCAGCTTGTAGATGGAGAAGAAACAGAAGACATGACTCCATTGATACTCAATTAATGACTTGAGAATAAGACACTTTTTGTATTAAGTTTCAATTGTAATAGCTTTCCAGCATCAGGTGCTTTCCAATTTCTTTGTCTGCCAGCTACAACCAACATTAAAAGCTTGAATGCTAAAAGTGTTTTTGAATTCATTGACAATCAATTCAATTGGGTGCATAGAGGTTTTCTGGAAAAGGTTACAAAAGAGTCATGAATAGAAGATTAATTTAACAGCCAAGTGAAACTTAGCCCTCACATTTACTTCCCAGAAAAAGGTCACTTAAATTTGGTTTAGCAATTGAGCTTCAATTAATGCAAATTCAGCTCTGCCATCACAAGGATAATATCATAACCCAATATACACTCACCGGCTCCTTTATTAGGTACACCTAATTAGTACCAGGTTGGAACAATTTTTGCCTTCAGAACTGCCTTAATCCTTCGTGGCACAGATTCAACAAGGTACTAGAATAATTCCTCAGAGATTTTGGTCCATATTGACATGATAGCATCATGCAGTTGCTGCAGATTTGTTGGCTGTACATCCATGATGCAAATCTCCCGTTCTACCACATCCCAAATGTGCTCTAATGGATTGAGCTTTGGTAACTGTGGAGGCCATTTGAGTACAGTAAACTCATTGTCATGTTCAAGAAACCAGTCTGGGATGATTCGTGCATCATGACATGGCGCGTTATCCTGCTGGAAGTAGCCATCAGAAGATGGATACACTGTGGTCATAAAGGGATGGATATAGTAACAATACTGAGGTAGGCTGTGGAGTTGACACAATGCTCAATTTGGTACTAATGGGCCCAAAGTGTGCCAAGAAAATATTCCCGACACCAATACAAAATTCTTTGTAAACCCTAGAGATGGTCGTGTCTGAAAGTAGATCAGCAGTTTCTGAAATACTCAGACCAGCCTGTCTGGCACAAACAATCATGCCACTTAAGTCACTTAAATCCCCTTTCTTCACCATTCTGATGCTCTGTTTAAACTGCAGCACATTGTCTTGACCATGTCTACAAGCCTAAATGCATTGAGTTGCTGCCATGTGATTGGCTGATTAAAAATTTGCGTTAATGAGCAGTTGAATAGGTGTACCTAATAAACTGTCCGTGAGTGTATATTTTTATAATTTAGTAACCCAAAAATTCTGTGTTGTAATTTTTGAATAAGTCAAAAATATAATATTTTATCAGCAAACAAACAAACAAACACGTTCAGTTAATTGTAATATTAGTATCAGTTGCAGCATTAAAAATACTAGCTATTTTTCTAAATTAAATGAATTTTACTGAACCATTTAATATTTCACTCTTTGAAACATTTTAAGAGAGGCACAAGTTAAGATATAAAAATATATATTTTTTGTTTATTAAATGATTTTATGTCAAAGAAAAGTTAAAGCCTGTGGTATTGCTATATGTAACTTAAGATGTTCTTCTCCAGAAAAGTATTGACTGAAGTGCAGCCCTTTTTTAGTGTTCAAGACTCATTGTCTCCATGCAATTAATAAACCATCGGTATTGGCCTTTTAATAGTATTGCTGATATGCCAACAGCTTTAAATTAATCCAAAATCATTCATTACACAAAACATTGGTGCATACCTAGTAATTTTTCTGCACAAAACTCTTGTGGATGTGTTTATAATAGGTTTGCTTACCTCTGTCAGTGTCACTCCGCTGTTTCCCTTCATGCATGACTGAAGAAACTAAGCGATAAAAGCAATTCAGGAAGGTGGGAGAAGCTTTCAGCATTACCTGCAAACATTTAAAGCTTTCATAATTGGTGCACAGCTGGACTTGGTGTAAAATTCTTTAGCCTTTATGCTTATGCAAGTCTGAATTTACTGCATAAAGTCGAAAACAAAAAAACAATAACCATCTGTGCCAAAAAAGCAAGCTTTTAAGCATTGTAGATATGCTCAGATAGATGGCAAAACAACACTATGAAATCAATGACAAAATTAAATAAAAATAATAATAAAATTTTAATAGAAGGCTGATTATTTCATTTTGTTAGCTTCGTCCTAGCAACCTCCTAAGCTATGAGTGGAAAGTCAAATATTCACATCATCTTTACAATAAATGCCAATATACACTACCTGACAAAAGACTTGTTGCCTATCCAAGTTTTAGGAACAACAAATAACTTGACTTCTAGTTGATCATTTGGTATCAGAAGAGGCTTATATGAAAGGCAAAGGCCTCTAGATTACACTTTTTTTACCAAAATAAAATATGATCATGCTTTGATTTTTAATTATTTTATTAGGACAGTAAGGTCTGACTTTGCTTAGACAAAAAGAATTAATATTGTGTGTGACTCCCATGAGCTTGGAGAACTGCATCTGTACATCTCTGCAGTGACTCAAATAACGTATTAATAAAGTCATCTTGTATGGCAAAGAAAGCATTCTTACAGGACTCCCAGAGTTCATCAAGCTTTTTGGATTGATGTTTAATGCCTCCTCCTTTATCTTACCTCAGAAATGCTCAATAATGTTCAAGTCAGGTGACTGGGCTGACCAATTCAGGAGCACCTTGACCTTCTTTGCTTTCAGGAACTTTGATGAGAAGGCTGAAGTATAAGGAGCAGTGCTATTCTGATGGAGAATTTGCCCTCACCTGAGGTTTGTATTGTAATGGGCAGCACAAATGTCTTGATACATCAGGCTCCCATACCCCCATACTGAATGGAACCCCAAACCATCACTTTTCCTTCACCAAACATGACTGATTTCTATGAGATTCTTGGGTTCATGTGGGTTCCGGTAGGACTTCTGCAGTATTTGTGATTATTGGGATGCAGTTCAACAGATGGTTTATTGGAAGAATCTACCTTCTGCCACTTTTACAAATGATCAACTAGATGTCAAGATATTATTTGTTGCTCTAACAACTGGGATCGACCACAACACTTTTTGACAGCTAGTGTACAAATAAGCCATATTGTGAAAATTAAACACATTATCTGGTCATTTAGGGCCAGATTTATTAAACAGGACAAATAAGCATGAGGCTGAAATTACTTTAAAAAAGTGTGAACCAATGTAATCTACCAAAAACAGCATAATAATGCTGGTTAGTGATACACATATACTGAGATTTAGGCAAACACCAATAACTCTATTTTTGAAAGATACAAAAAACAAAATGTTTTTTTATTATTATTTTAAAACACCAAAAAACAAAAAAACTGCACAGAAACATCTAGTTTTTCCTTTTTGCTAAATAAATTACAATTGATTGTCCTAATTGTATTTATTTATTTATTTTTTTGTATCATTTCTTTTTGTTAAAATGATTATAAGGATGGTTGTGCATTTGTACACTGTTTACCTTTACAAGGGAGGGAGCGTTATTCTATTGGGAATGATTTGCTTGGCAATCAATGAGTTCACATGCTAACTACTAATAAACACATGGTGCTTCCCAAATTGCATTCTTATGCACTATTCCACACCATTTTGTAATATAAATAGTGTAAGTAGTGCACTCACACTGAAAACTCAGAATAAGTGCACTTTAAATACCCGGATGATGCACTTATTAAACCGTAATAAAGAAGTGTGGAATGATGGACACTTCACACACTCAACACCGCAGCTTTGCTCACGTAGCGGTAGGGGCGGAGCTTTCAAGCACTGATGTTGGATTCCATTATTTATTTAGTATTGTGAAAGCAAAATTCAAAAGAGTGTGTATGGGTGTTTCCCAGTGCTGGACTGTGGCTGGAAGGGCATCTGCTGCGTAAAACATTTAAGAGATAAGTTCCGCTGTAGCGACCCCTAAGTAATAAAGCGACTAAGCCGAAAAGAAACTGAATGAATGAAAGCAAAATTTACATACAAGAGTGGCTATACCGCCTCCCGATGGTGAATGCGGTTATCCTCATGGCAGGTATTATTTGGTAATTTGGTAATTTATTTCACAAATTTGGCAACCGTCAAAAGTCAACCGGTAAACAGTTTGAATTTCCGCTTTAGTAAAAAACCCTATTAGTGTTCCATTTGGGACGACACTACATACATATACATATACTGTTGATTGTGTAAGTGCATAAGTAGATAGTGCATAAATGCATAGTGTATAGCAGGGGTCACCAACCCTGTTCCTGGAGAGCTACCTTCCTGCAGATTTTAGTTGCAACCCTGACCAAACACACCTGTTTGTAATTATCAAGTGCTGCTTTAGGTACTATTAATTGGTTCAGGTGTGTTTGATCAGGGTTGGGACTGAATTCTGCTGGAAGGTAGCTCTCCAGGAACAGGGTTGGTGACCCCTAGTGTATGTGTATAGTGTGCCGTTTGGGACGCAGCTATTGTTGCATAAGTGCCACACCCTGGTGTTTCCTGGTGGAAGTGGCCTTAATAATCAGCAGTATAATGCCCTCTGCCACACTGCACTTATTGTTCAGGAATGGTTTAAATAGCACGATGAAGCGTTCAGGGTGTTGGCCTCCAAATTCCACAGATCTCAATCCTATTGATGAATGGAATATACTGGACAAACAAGTTTGATCCATGACAGCTTCACCTTAAGACCTTAAGTTACCTTCTGCTCATGTTTGGTTTTTTAAAGCCTATGTCTACAGGGGTGTCAGCACTATTTAGAAGCACATAAAAAAACAAAAGCACTTTGGTCAGGTGGTCATAATGTTTGGCTTTTTAGAATGACGGTAATAATGTTTTGGCTTTTAAGGATGGTGGTAATAATGTTTTGGCTTTTAAGGATGGTGGTAATAATGTTTGTGTATAATATTCAAATATTGTCAAATAAAAGTGGGTTTGGACACATTGACTGCACTACTAAATCCATTTTGCACATCAAAATTAATTGTTCAGTCATCCTCATAATTAATTCCAAAACAACTGCCTAATATCTGCTCCTCATTTTACTTTATAAAGCTTCTCAAACATAAGGTCATCTTGAGATTGTGGTCAAGCATAACGCCTTTACAGTTTAGCACACTCTTGCCATTCCCCAACTACCAGACTCCACCGCGAGCTCCTTCCCCTCAGGATCTGTGGCAACTGTCCAAACTACATTCTGATTTTCATTTGTATAAAGTGCAAATTAAATGCCTCTCCAGGGCACTGTAATGTTCACTCCTAACATCAAGCGGCATTAGCCTGTAACGCACCTATTTGCATAAACATTATTATCAAAAACATCTCAGAGTACTAATTCACCAGATCAGATAAATGTTGCCATAAGATCACTCATCTTTATATTGAGCATAATGAGAGCACATTTCTGAATTCTACTTTTACAGAATACTATTATAAATAGTGTTTTTTTATCCCAAGAAAATCCCATGTCATTCTGTGTTTGCTAACAGATATATTACATTTTGATCCACGCTACGGGACTCATTTTTCTTTCACCAGACACAGCACACTGGGTGTGTTCACGAAACATAACCCTGAAAGCCACATTAATAAAAGATTTTCCCAAAGCAAGTGCAGATAAACAGATGTCAGACCCCCACCTTTTCTTTTTTTTTTTTTAAACTGATAGCATCTGGCACTGCTTCTACCTCCACAGCCTCTGGGTGATTTCTTAAGTCAATTCCAAATGTATAAGGACATAATTCAACTTGAAAAAGTGCAACAATAAAATGGCTAAGTACTATCAGGTTTAGGCTTTTATCTCTCTCCCCCTTTCCATCCCAGGATGCTCACCTGAGGGTAGCAGTGGATAATTGCAAACAGAGCTTCATGGACGGCCTCAAAAGCAGAATGATAGTCCTCCATGCAATGACTATCGAGAGGCACAAACTGCAGTGCGCCCAAAACCACAATCACCTGGTGCGGGTTGGAGATTTGTGCTTTACCCTGCCGGAGCAAGACGGTCAGAGCCTCGAGACCTGGTACTGTCAGCACACGGGTCAGAGAGGGGAGTTTGCTGGATTCCTTTATTATGAACTGGAAGAAAACAAAGGAAATCTGTCAAATGTATTGTCTTTAGCAACTAATGCATTCACTGTGATCATTTAATATAGTTCAATGTAAATAGAATAACAATTACAGCTCAACATATCATTTAACACAAGGTTATTTACATGTATTCATTTAGCAAATGCTTACATCCAAAATTAGGGATACAACAAGCATTTCATTATAAAGTGGTGCCAATTAGGTCAATTTTAATTAACTTATTTTGTCCAAGTATAGAAAATATCATAAAAAAGAAAAACTGATCCCAAATTGAAATGGTAGCGTGATTTAGTGACCATTATATGGAAACTTCTGACCACATGTAATTACCCTGATGACTTTTATCATGCATGTTATTCATGATTAGCATGCTGGTTTGTTTTGCTAGTTAACATGCTCCACATATGCTGTGTCCCAGTTTTGCATACTATCTGTCCTTAATAATATTTGAGAACAGAAATAGTATGTCCCAAATTGTAGTCTGTTGAAAAGAGTTTGCCAAAGGTTCCCGGATGGTTTACCATTTCTGGTAAAAATTTTAAGTGTAAAAGCATCCATACTCTAACTGCTGATATTGCCCACAGTACATTGCGTGTTGGACATGAGTTCGATTAGAACTACAAACGCAGGTGAAAAGTGTAAATAAACTACAAACATGGTGGACGCGCAAGACCAACCGTCAAGTAGAGAGGCTTCAGTAAAGATGTTTGTATGATCGTTAATTAATATCTAGTCAACTGGAAAATATTTAAATCACATTTTCTGTATTATATTTCATCTGCAACAACATGAACTTATATAAAGATGTGTTTGGACATTATTGTAATTCATTATTTAAATGAATAAATAATTATCCAAAGACCTGTGGAGATTTCTCTGCATGAAAGACTCGCGAATGGCAAATTAACCTGCTGCTGCTTCTTCAGTAAGGTAGGAACTTATATATGAAAGAAATGTGGATGATGTGCGAATAATTGACAGGGCTCATAACTAAGCAACACAACAATCTGTTAACAAGGTAGTAGTATGTCCTCCCAAAGCTTGCATACTCTTCTGTAACATACTCAAAAGTATATATTTTTCCTTCATAAAGAAAGTACATACTTTTGTGACATAGTACAAGTATGTGTCCAGTGTTTGATTTTATTTAGAGAACTAATGGCCTTGTAAAATGTACTAATCAAGCAGAATTCATTATGCAAGACAACAGCTACAGCAATCCAGGTTAAGTAGGTAGTATTTTATGTTCATGATCTGACAACACGTGAGTGGCGACCACCTTCATTTAGAAAAAATTAATTAATATTAGGTTTAGGTAGTTTTTAGAGCTGGGCAAAGATTAATTGTGATTAATCAGATCCAAAATAAAAGTTTATTTTGATATAATTGTGTGTACTACGTATATTTGTTATGTATATTTAAATACACAAATGCATGCATATATTTGAGAAGTTTTTCATTAGTATTAGACATAAATACTAGTTTTTATGTAAAGTTTTTTTGTTGTTTTTTTTTTTATCTATGAGTGTGTATATCATATATACATAAATATACATTCACTGGCCACTTTATTAGGTACACCTGTCCAACTGCTCATTAAAGAAATTTCTAATTAGCCAATCACATGGCAGTAACTTAATGCATTTAAGCATGTAGAGATGGTCAAGATGATCTGCTGCAATTCAAACAGAGCATCAGAATGAGGAAGAAAGTTGATTTAAGTGACTTAGAACGTGGCATGGTTGTTGGTGCCAGACAGGCTGGTTTGGGTATTTCAGAAACTGCTGATCTACTGGGATTTTCATGCACAACCAGGGGGTTTAATGAGAATGGTCCGAAATACAAAAAATATCGAATGATATTGATGAGCGACAGTTCTGTGGGCACAAATGCCTTTTTGATGCCAGAAGTCAAAGGAGAATGGCCAGACTGGTTTGAACAGAAGGCAATAGTAACTCAAATTACCAATTGTTACAACGGAGGTATGCAGAAGAGCATCTTTGAACACACAACAACTCCAACCTTAAGCCGGATGGGCTACAGCCGTTAAAGACCAAACCGGGTGCCACTCCTGTCAGCTAAGAACAGGAAACTGAGGCTACAATTCACACAGGCTCACCAAAAATAGACAATAAAAAATTTGGAACCTTTGCCTAGTCTGATGAGTCTCGATTTCTGCTGCAACATTCGTATAGTAGGGTCAGAATTTGCCGTCAACAACGTGATGAACGGATCCATCCTGCCTTGTATCAACAGTTCGGGAATAAGGAATAAGGTAGTTCTAAAGGTAAAATAGAGTCCAACCCGGCCAGTACTAGTGAAGTGTACCTAATAAAGTGGCCGGTGAGTGTAAATAATTCACACATATATTGTCAAAACAAACTTTTATATTGGATGTAATTAATTGCGATTAGCCTTTGCCCATCACTAGTATTTTTATAGAGCAAAAACCAACAACAAACGGTACAATATGCACAGCAGATCTCATACAATCCAGACTGACATTCACCAGAAATCTTCAAATGTAGCACAATATCACTTCACTATCTAACAGAATTCTATTAAACTGCACCACACACGATCCATGCTATAAAATATTGATGACAAAAGTGACGATTACAGAGCTTGTTCTTTATTTGTGTACAAAAGATGTGAGAACAGCAAGGTTAACAAAGCTTCTGGTCGCTCTGGTGAACTCTGTTAGCAGCAGCTTCACTGCATCAAGTTCTGACGCGGAGAAGAAAGGTGGAGTGATGAAAGTAACCTGTCAGGCACACACAGGCCTCCTCTGACTGAACTCAGTGACACAGACAAGACTTTGAAACCTGATTTTTCCAGGCAGATGAATTTTAATGCTAAATCAAGACAAGAGAACGTCAGGCTGGTGGGTGAGGTATGTGATATGTTTTACAAAGCTTACTGCAGGGTGTTTTTCACTGCCAGCCAACTCTCTAGGCACCCTTAAAAGAATGTTTCAGGCTCAAAAAAGGGAAGGTTTATCGCATTTATTGCACAATGTCAACTGTGTTTTTTATTTAAACAGGAAGTCCAGAAAATAACTTATGAAGAAGTAAACAGGGTCGTGACATGTTTGTTAATTTTTAAAAAGTGTCTTATACTGTAAAGTTGTCTAAATTAACTACTGTTTTTCCATGGAAAGTTCATGGAGCATCTTTAAAGTTTGTAGAAAAACAAATTGAGCTTATTGATCTACTTTTATATTTTAATTACTCAAATTCCAAAGCAAAGTATGATGCTTACATCTTGAAAAGACAATTTCATAACAAACAATTACTATAAAAAAAAACCATGTGTGATTAATCTTATTCAGGGAAAAACATCTAACGGGAAACAAATTAAAAACATGCAGTGTAATACTCACAATGAGGCTGGATATTATTTGTGGGGTGATGAGCCAAAAAGCCTTTGAGCAATGCTCTGGAAAAAGACAACAGGCAAGCAGCTTTATTAAAGTCACTGCGGACAGAACCTCCTGTGAAAGAAAATGAGATAACATATCATTAGTACACACTACAAGTATGCTTAGAAAATCTTATGCTTTGACAGAGAATGGATTTGTTATCTTTGTTGTTTCATGTTAACATAAAACATCTATTTCAAGTCATACAGTCTAATTAAGTGTAAATGTTGTGCAACAACAAAGACAGATTTCTCAAAATTGAATCAAAGCCCTCTGGAAATGCAAAACATTGAACTTTATTTGAATAAATATAATGAGAATCACATTCATACGCGCTCTGCATGGGCTTCATTTGCAAATAAATTACACTTAAAGAATGTTTTTTTTATTTTATAAATGGGTATTTTATAAATTCTGCAATAATGCAATAATAAAAATAACTTGATCAAATCATTACGGATGAAATCTGTAAACATTAAGATGTTTTTTGTCCACCATTGGTTTTACTATGAAAGACAATTTATCACTAATGACTAATTTTTCACTTTAACTCAATTCTAATAGTATTTAAATTTCACCACATAAATATGCAAATGACATTTATTACAGCCCTGTATGGGTTTTATTTCCAAATGAATCAAATCATTTAAATCATAAATGAGGGTCGCACTTGAGGACTTGTGTTCTGCAGGTTTTTACAAAAAAAATACACTGAAAAACTCCAAAACTGAATGAATGTGTTAACCTTTTACATGTATTAACAGCATTAAGTAATAATTTGTTTTATGCTATTACAACTATAATAAGAACCCAGTAATAAACACTCATCTACAAATAAATGTCTTACAGAGCATTGGCCTCCTTCAACCTTGGCTGCCACAAGCCCCTCTCTGAGCATCAGCAGAAATAGATGGAACTGCTCTTGAGAACAGTTGGACATCAGCTGATTAAGCAGTTCCTTCACTGGACCCTCCAGCTCTTTCACGTCTGTCAGAGACATCCACGTTCCTGAAGAAATGATTGACATGCTATTTTCAGAAAAGGCAGAAGCTTCACAACAATTTGGAGAGTCAATTTACTGAAGCCATAGGGCATTTTACCTGACAGCAGCGCTTGGATACTCTGCAAAATCTCAATATGAAGATCTTCAAGATCTGCCACTTTGGTCTTCTCTGCAGCCATGTGGAATGCAGAAAGATAGTGAATCGATGAAATGAGGAAGTCCATAGGACGAGGTGATGGGAACAGCTCTTTTAAGATCTGCTGGTAAAAGCTCCTATAGAATGGCATACTGGATATTTTTTCCTGGCCGTCATCGTTAGAGCTTGAAGCTCTTGCTAGTTCACACCTGATCATGACCGTTACCACTTCAACAGAGAAGGACTGCCTGAGGAGACAACTTCCCTTGCCCATCAACACAGCCTGAATGGCTGGCTCCATGACAGCAGTGGCTTTCTCTAACAAGTGAGTCAGGGCCTGGTCCAGCTGTTTGTTCTTGCCGAGGGTTGTCATCATTTCTCTGCAAAGTGCGCTTAAAGTTACCAGATGAAGCTGCAGCGAGAAGAGATCTCCCGTGTCTACAGTCAGAACTCTTGCTGTGAAGTTACATTCAACCATGAAGGAGGTAAATTTCTCCAGATTGAGGCATATGCTGCTTTTCCTGTCGATTATAAGCCGAATTAGGGACTGGATGAAATCTTGAACTGACTGAAGGAAAGACAACCAAGTCGGACCATCCAAACTCTTGAAGAGGCCTTCGCTGCTCCGAGAGAAAAGGGTTGTCATTGTTGCCTCTAAGAGATTACTTCCGTGAATAACTTTCAGGATGCTTTGAGAGTTTTTGGCCAGCAAGAGTGAAGCCATGACACTAAAAAGCTCTTTGAGTAACTCAATAAATGCAGAGAGATTTGTTTCTTCAACACACTGAATGGTGGACGTCAGTGTTAACAAAGTCAGAAAAAGTTCTAAATAGTCTTCATAGGACATTGCGTATCCATTCAGGACACTTGTGACTTTGACTAGCTGCAGTAATCCATTTATCTGTCTTTTAGATAGAGGTACAGAAGACTTCATTTTGACAGAGTACAACATCTCCAGTCCAATAGCTTTGAGTCTCTTCATAGAAGGTGTCATGCCCATTTCTTCATCTTTGACTTCAACGTTTTCTACAGGAGGCGTCAAAAATGAAGGACAAATAAGCTGCATGTGTGATGAGTCGAGCAGTCCAAACAACGCCTTGATGATGCACTTCGTCAACGCTGAGAAAATCTCAGGGAGCTCACAAAGAACAGGACTCTCCAGTAATTGTCTTGATATTAAGCAGACAGAGATCCCAGTGTTCTCCAAATTGCTTCCAGAGGCATCCAAGCTCTGAAGCAAAGACTTTAACATACATTCTGCAAAAACAGACCTGTCGTTTGGATCAAGATAAGGGGCAATTAATGGAAGGTTGGAGGTAACAAGAAACCAGTGGGCTGCATTATAAGTGCTGGAATTCACATTACAAAACTGAAAGTCCCACATCTGGTCGAGGCTGTGTATTACTGAAAGTTCTTCCCTGTTCAGAATAAACTGAGCCATTTTCTGCATCTCTGATGATTCACTGAATGATTTGAGCAAGTGTATCTTCAGCTTGTGGAGAGCAAGGAGATTCTGTAATAGTTTACCAAGTGGACTGTCCATGTTCCTTAGCATCAGAGCTTTGTCCACTAAAGTGCTACTCTGAGAGGCAGAAGGTGATGTGTACTTAGTACAGTGAATTTGAAAGAGAGCATCTGCCTCAACCCAAGTATGAGCAAGCAGAAGAGTCACCTCTTGAACCTTCTCCATCCAAGGACCTTTTGTGGCAAGTTTCTGCTCCAACAAATCTTCAACAACCTTTAGCATTTCTGTCATCAAACTTAGAGTTTGCTTTACAACTGGCACAGGGGTGCTGTTGTCCAAAGTCTTAAAACTGAAGAGCACAGCATGAAGGAGCAAACTCATAGAAAAGACTTTCAGTGCCAAATCCGATGTTTCATCTTGAATGTGGGGAAGCAGACAGGACTGCACTCTCTTTAAAATGAGCCCACAGATCTCAAGATTTTGCCTGAGAGGATTGTCTAGCAAACACTGACTCAGGGTCTTTTGTATCGCTTCCGGCAACAAAGCTGGTCTCAACTCATCTGCTGCAGGCCGACACACTACATCAAGCAGCTCTTCGATAAGTTTAGGCAGCTGTCGGAGTTTGGAATAAGTTTGCAAGACGGCAGACACAAGTGCTTCTCTGGCTTTCCTCACACGTAGTTCCATGTTTTCTGCATCAACCCACACAGCTGAGAGAAGCTCATCTAAATCTGGCTCTAGGATTTGGTGATTCAGTGCGAGCAGAGCTCTGAGACAGCGGTACCAAGCTGGGACGCCCATCTGTGTATTGTTAAATAATAGGCGAGCCACTTTCCTGTAGAAATTGAATTGCACCTCTCCGTGTTGTATTCTGTCTGCAGCTACATTATAGATATCACCGACCAAACAGGAGTTCAGGAGGTTCTCCAGAGCGAGTAAACAGATACCCCAGTTTGATGCTCTGAAATTCTCATCAATGTCTAGTTCATCTGTGAACCCCAAAGCAGTAATGAGTTTTGCCATGAGGTGAAAGATCACTCGCTTGTTCTCTCCGCCTCTACAAAAAGAATCTAGGGCAAATTTAAATAGCAATGAGAGAGAGTTTGATTTAACGGCATAAAATAGTGCCTCTTCCTCTTCGCTAGCTCCATGGATGCAAATCCTTGTAAGGATTGTATTGAGAGGGCCTTGCAAGCCTTTTCCTATATGGCTCTTTCTATCCCCAGCTTCATTCTCGGATGGTGAAACTTCTACCTTGTAAGATTGTAAATGATCAGAAAGGAAGAGTGCTGACTGGAGAACAGCATCCACTTTGGTCCGTATTTCCTTGCTCAGATTCTGTCGAATCTTGACATCATCTTTTTCGGTCCATACTCTAGTGTTCAGTAAGTGTCTGAGGAGGAGTAGCGGATGAAGAAGATGTGCCGTTACCTGGAAAAACACTCGGTTGGAGTTTGCCTGCTGTTTCTGCACTGTAAGGTAATTGCTAAGGACAACAAGAAGAACCTCAAAGGCTTTGAGTGAGAGAGGCTCCTCATATTTTTGTTGTCTGAGCTGCATGCTGGTCAAGCCACAGAGTCGAGACAAAAGCTGCACTAATAACTCATACTTAGCAGTGTAGATAACAGAGAGCACCGGGGAGGTCAAGATACCATGGCAACAGCTCAGAATGGTGTGGAAACTGACAGATCTGAGTCCTGAAGTATAGTCCAAAATCCTGTCATTGATTATCTAGAATTAAATAAAACAAATGATGAATGAATTGATGTCAGTGTTCATTATGCATATTAAAACTATTCATCCAACAATGAAACTGTACTATTTCCTAACCACTTTTTGGCCTTCGGGTGGTACCAAACCTTCATGTTTAACACAAAAGAAAAAAAAGGTAAACCAGTAGGCATTTACAGTCTATCCACAGTAATAGGGCAGGGCGATTAATCGAAAAGTAATCGAAATCGTCATACAGAACCAACTTTATAATCGATAACATTTTTCTAGTTCAATTTTTTTCAATTACTTTAACTAATGCGCGTGAAGTCATGTGACCCCGCTCTGTTTAAACTTCTGCATTGAGCGCAGCGTATGGTCTGATGCAGTCTTTAAACATTTGCATATCCCTTGCTGTGACTGTTGCCAATGCTAACTAGAGATCTGCGCAAGACTGATTTTTTTGTCTCGCTCCCATCCTCTCCTGTCAAGTTTTATTCCGAACCCGACCACTCCTGATGTTTATTTAGCCTGTTCACCCACTGCCTGCCCTGCCCTGTTTTCTACCCGACCTGACCATTCCCGCTAAATTTAGATCTGGGGCCTCATGTACGAAGACTTGCGTTGAAATCATACTAAAACATTGCCTAAGATCAAAGCTGTCAATGTGCGTACGCAGTAAAAAATTTAGATGTATGAAACTGCGTACGCATAATCCCATGCATATTCTCTTTGTACATCTGAATTAACGTGAAACTGAGCGCAACATGCACGAGCGCAAAACCCCTCCCTGCCTTCTCCCCCTTTGGCAAAACCAAACGAAAAAGCAATGGCAAAAGCAAGCAAGAAGAGAAACTTTAAACAGAATGTGAATTAGAGGTGCTCCTATCGGAGGTAGACCGGAGGAAAACTGTTTGCAAGTTTTTCGTTGAAATTAGTTAGTTGAGTGATTTCCGGCCGTTTGATCGGCAGAGACAACAAAGTTAAAGAGGGAAGACAGCATCAGTGTGAGTGGTGTAGCGCGTAACACACATGGCATCATGTTTTGACAGTGTCATTCAAGAACGCGGTTCGAATCCAGCGTCTGATGAACTCATTCTTCTTTTTCCCCCACTACATATCAGATTTTGTCTACTCTTCTATCACGAGGAACACAAGTAGGAATCATTAATAAGTGTGGGTATTATGTTAAGCGCATTTGAGCATAACATATTATTTGCACATTTATTGAATGGAAATGTTTCTTATTCACATGTACAAATTCGTCTTCAGATGGCGCCTTTATAGCAATGTGCGTGCAGTTGATCGCTCCGATTACAATGGGAAAACCGGCGATCGCTGCAAGTTGCACTTTAATGTTTGGCTGGTCAAATCTATAGTATGGAAACCTTGTATACCTGCTAGACATGCGGATGACCTTGTCCCATACAGCTGTCAGCTGCCATTGCATGGCTCAAAAATACTTTGTAGTGTGCAATTTAACACAACTGCCTCTAGGAGTCGCCAATGGAAATAAAAAAAACACACACAAGAAATGTACGTATGCCAGGCATGAAGTTGGCATGGAACAACGCTCATTCTCACGTTCATTTCATCGTTAGTAAATCCAAATGTGAGCAATTCTGAGCGTGAAACCTTGCGTGCACAAAGTTTTTGTGCGTACGCAGCGTTGATACATGAGGCCCCTGGTTTCCAAAAACTCACGTAAAAATTGGGCACTAGCAAAAGTGAGAGATAAATTAAAGTGTATATTGTGCAAGGATTCAACATTACAAGGATTCAGTAATCAACATTACAAAAGCAGGTAAAACCTGTCTTTGACATAATTAATTCATTACAGAACACTGCTGTACTACAACATTCTTCCTGCTTTAGTTATTCCCCATCTGTGTCATTCACCACTTGACCTTCATTTCTGACTCTGTTCGGCTTATTTAAAAACTCGCATTTCTTTTTTTTTTTTTCAAAATAACATACCATATTATTAATAAGATATATTGGTATTTTTATTTTCATGTTTTAAGCAACAGTATAAAAGCCTTATATGTATTAATAACAGTGCTGCTGCTAGTCTACCAACCATTACTTGAGTATTATAGAACAATGCATTACAGTAAAAATTTTAATACAGAACAGTAGGGAATTTGAAACACTAATATATACCTGTGCTACTGTGAGACGAAGGCTAATGGTTTTTCCTTGACTCAGCACATTATGAAGCTTCCTGCTGTGAAGGATATCATCAAGGTAGGTCCATAAACCCTCCACCACCTCTGGAGGCATCTCCACTTTCTTATTGTAAAAGCAAGTGAGAGCATGATTTGTCCAGTCAAACAGAACCTTTTATGGGAGAAGAAATCTCTTTATTAGCAAGCAAGCAACATAAACATTGTAAAAACATTTTTTTTTAATTAAACTGAATTTGCAATAAAGTTTTGTGAGATCTCATGATTACTTTTACTCTCACACAAACATGAAGACCCAGATTTTGTTTCTGGTAACACTTTACAATATGTGACACATAGTTAATTTATTTACTTACATGACCTAATAATCCAACTGTATGCTTGTTAACCTTGAGTTAACATGAACTAACAGTGAATAACTGAATTATCAAATACTAATGTTAACAAAGATGAATAAATACTGTAATAAATGAATTGTTCATTGCTTGTTTATGTTAGTAAATCCATTAACTAATACAAACTACATGCTCCTTATAGGTGACCTATTCTGCCCTTTTTCACAAAGTAAAATATGTTTATGTTGTCCCTAGAGTGTGTATGTGAAGTTTCAGCTCAAAATACCTCACAAATAAATGTCTGTGAAACTGCCCCTTTTAGACTTTGATCCCAATTGTGCCATTTTGGTGACTGTCGCTTTAAATCCAGATGAGATTGTGCCCTTTTCAAAAGTGAGTGAAGCTACAAATGCCTCAAAAACAAGATTAACATCATACGCTAACGAGGGTGAGACCATCACTAATGGGCGGCGGACGGGGGGGACTTACCCAGTGTTGGGAAAAAGAAATATATATTTTTATTATTTTTGTCTTTTTTCTTTTCATTATTTATTTGTATAGGTGATATATAAACTTAACTTCTTCTCTGTGTGTGATATGCTTTCCATATTAATAAAGCATTTTCTCAGAAGTAGATACATCTTACTGGAAAAATAGAGCAACATCGATATCTGAAAATAACTTTAAATTCTCACTTAGCTTTCCTGTTAAAACTGAACACCAATTATTTGAATTTGAGAAGTCTTTTTATTTTTATATTGTTTGGGTTTTTTCACCTTTATTATATAGAACAGTAGGGATGAGACAGGAAAACGTGGGGAGCAGAGAGAGAGGGGGGGGGCTTGGCAAAAGACCTCGAGCCGGGAATCGAACTCAAGTCCCGGTGATCACCTCAATGCTTTATGTCAACGCACTTTATCACTAGGCTATTGGCACCGACAGAAGATTTTAATGTTTTGCAAGGAATTTCTAGAAAAAGAGGAAGTATGTTTGGGTGCAGCCCCTGGAGGACTGCAGAATGATTAACAAGTGACGAATTACACCAAAACTCCACCTTTTAATATCAGCTGTGTATAAATACTGAATTCAGGGGAAATGCAGTGTGGTGGTACCTCCTGAATGTACACTACTGGTCAAAAGTTTGGGGTCAGTTTTTTATTATTATTTATTTTATTAAATAATTTAAAGAAAAAAAATTATTATTCACTGCAGGTAGTTTTGAATAAAATTATTACTCCAGTCATTATTGCTTTTATTACCATTACAATTAATAATAATAATAATAATAATAATAATAAATATTAGAGTGATTTCTGAAGGATCATGTGACTGAAAACTGGAGTAATGAAGCTGAAAATTCATCAGTAAAATCACTGGAATAATGATTAAATTAAATTATAAACTACTTTTGAAAAGCTTTTTTATAGAGCAATAACATTTCATAATTTTACAATTGGTACTGTATTTTTGAAGCTGGTTATATTCACAGACTTTTGCCACACAATTATGTTTAAACCCCTTATAAAAGTGATTATTGCAAAATAGGTCTCCCTTAACTTCAAGTGGTACAGAGTTTATTTGAATAGGATTACCTGTTCTTTATTAGGAAGAAGGCACTGTGTTGATATCCATGCAAATCGAGCAAGTTTTAGTTTGTCTGGCCAGGGTGTTCGGGTGTTTTTGAGTTTCAGTTGGATGCCAGAGTAAATGGCAGCCATCTTTAAATATGTTTGTGTCTAAGGGAACAAAAACACAAGTTAATGAATTACTGGTAAGACATTTATAACCAATACGCACATTTTGCAATGTAACATGCTTTCTATGAAACAGCACCATTTGGTGGCTAGTGAAGGATAAAACATAGCAACAGCATTCAGAGTCCAGACTTCTAAAGTCTTTCTCAATAAGGAGTAAAAAACTTTAATGAATAGTTTTAAGGGAACCGCTGTAAAAATAACTGAGTAAAGAAGTCTTGTTTTATGTAACACTGAAAAAAGGCAAAATCATGATTAGGACAGTATCAAACAAAAAAAATCTAACAGAACTAACTATACTTCATAGCCCACTGACAGATATTTGTTAGTTTTAAGCAAAACTCAAATATTTTTATTTGGATAAAGTGACTGTTAGGGCTGCATCGATATCGCAACGTGATCATTCGCAATAGTTAAATCACGAGTACAACATTGAGTCTGGATTATAATTTATTATTTTGCAAGTGTTTTTTAAGGCCTGAGACTGTATGAGGGTTTTAAATAAAAGCATTCAGGCATAAGAAAATGTACTGTTTTTTTTACTTTAAGAATAAAAAAATGAATAATGATTAATTGTATTGAATTGTTTGTAAAAGGAAGACTGCAGTATTACTTTACATTTGATTATTCAATTACAGTATACTTGAATACACTCCTCGGAAAACAATAAAAGGATGTACATTTAATTAGCATATTTTCTTTATTGAATTTATCTATGTTCACAGATTGCTTTATTATATTTTATGCACTCTCCTACAGATTGTAAATTGTTTCCAAACAGTTATTCAAGTCAAGTCAAGTCGGCTTAATTGTCATTTCAACAATATAAAGGGCACTACATAGCGAGACGAAATAATGTTCCTCCAGAACCAAGTTGCTACATCAAACAACATAAACTGACAATATAACAAAGGACTATGCACAACTATAAAAAAATATAGAGAATGAAATAAAGAAAGGTAAGATAAACAAAAATATAATATATTAAAATGAGAATAAGAGCGCAAAGTGCGGTTTGTGTAACATTTAGTGCAAATAAGACAGAACAGACAAGACAGGACAAAAAAAAAACAGTAACGCCAACCAGTACACAACAGATGTTGTGCAAATTTTGGAGCAGATATAAATACTGCAAATGTAAACATTTGTCATTGAGTTATTTAATTCAAAATTGTATTAATATTGCAATCTATAACGCATAATAAAAAATAATTTTTAGTTACAATAATAAATTATTATATATATTTTTAAATAACAGCCATTCCTTCTTTAGGTGAGAAATCATTAGTTTACAAGTTGAAAATAAATTAAATTTAATCTTGCATAAGCAAAAACAATAACATCATGACAACATATAAACAAATTCAAACTTAATTAGACCCTCATTAAGTGTTTTTAACAGCAACCATGTTCTTGCATTTTAATTATTATTCTAATACAACTGGTTTACTTTGAAGAAAAACCTTTATACTGTGCTTACACCTAGCGCTGATGCAATTACAGCGATTTTTATTGTATGTATATTGATCTGTAGTTACACTGTTGACCCTGCAGCTGCACACACCACTAAACCAGTTTGAGGTAAAGTTGGTTTTATATTCGCACCTTCCTTTAGTGACAACTCGTGACACGCTTCCTACATTGTTTACCACGGTACTTTGAATATTTGGATTAAGATCATTTGAACAATGAAGCTTTTGTTATTAACATATTTATTTTGTTGATTAAGTTTCAAATTTATAAGTGTAAATTTTCCCAAAAAAAATTTACTTTGTTTTAAATGAACAGAAAATTACTTTTGTACTATTTAGCAAAGTGCTAATAGACAGGCCATTAAACTGTACATCTGTGCCTTTCAAAATGTTTGATTGGTGTAAAGGTCCTGCTTGTTTGCAATTGTAAGAATTTTTGTTAATTATTTATACTCTTTCCTTTTTTTGTGCTGTTATTATTTACCACCTATCACCCAAGCTTTATTTTGTTTACTATATCATGTGTGTTGTTAACAGCATAAATAAAAATAATAATTAAAAAAACGTTGAATATTCGGGCTGAAATGACATGCAAAACTTCAAAACAACATTAGCATTGTTTAATTAACTGTCAACAGTGTTGTACTTTGAGAGTCATTGACTCCTAACATGATTTCCTTATTCAGTATTTGCAAAGAATTTTCTAAAAAATATATTATTAGGGGAAAGTCTGAATGTGTGAATAAAAAAACAACTTTATCTAAACCTGTCCCCAACAAAGCAGCAAAATCATTTTACACCAAACTATTGTATTTTTGAATGCGAGTACACATTGTAAAGTGGAGACAGTTATTGGTGAAATTACATGGCAAACATTGAGCAAATCTGAAATAAAAGAGAAACTGATGACTGGCTTTTATCATTTTATCGATTTAAGTAAGCTTTTCCACGTCACAAGTCACACAAACATCATACGAAAGTAAACTCTTTAAATAATCTTAAACACAACAGAAGATAAATGTCTGGCAGCCCCTAGCGAATCACACAGCGAAATAATCACAGAGAGCCTGTTAGATTTTAGTGAATAAAATAGAACGTACCGCACAACAGCAGTTACTATAGTGAGCAATCTTTTAACGTTAAGTAATACGGAAAACTTTCAAAATACTCACAATCTCATGACACACGTGTTACCGCTGTGGGGACCTCTGAACTCTCCACTTTCACACAAGACAGTAATAATCGAAAAGGAGCATCAACGCTTGTGTGTAAAACTGGTTCGCTCATTTTAGAGAAACTTTTGAAGATGTATGATTTGTTTCGGTCAGAAGTTATTTGTAATGTATAAACTGTTGGCTTGCTAAACTGTTGAAATAAATTGTGACCAAAGTAGTTTGACATTTACAGAAAGTTTAACATAATAACATTATATCTAAACACTGGTGGACACATTTAGAGGAATGTAAGATACCCTAAATTATAAACAGATGTGATATAAATCGTTCTGGAGCTCTATTACCCTTCATTAAACTGTTTGATTTATCATGTCTGAGAAGGGTTTCGTCAGAGACCATAGATCTGAAAAGATAGATCACGCCTTAGCTGTGGTTGCGTGTCCGCCATGTTGGAAAGGTCAAAACTACAAACTGTGGTGCAACAGGCAGAGCAGGTTTCAAAATGCAAAAATCAAAAAGTTGCTGAACTGTTAATGTAGTTAAAGTAGAAGTTAAATACGTGTAAAAAAAATAAAGTATTAGTAGCCTTTAAAATGCAAATGTAATTGAAATTAAGCCTACAAAAAAGTTTTTTTTTAAATGTCATTGTCTAAACATTGCAAAAGAACAGGATCACTCAAAAGTGAGACCTCATCAATTTCTCCCCTTGTGTGGTGTGTATATATATATATATATATATATATATATATATATATATATATATATATATATATATATATATATATATATATATATATATATATATATATATATATATATATATATATATATATATGCTATATTTATATCTAAGGTGACACGGTGGCTCAGGGGTAAGTGCTGTCGCCTCACAGCAAGATGGTCGCTGGTTTGAGCCCCGGCTGGGTCAGTTGGCATTTCTTTGTGGAGTTTGCATGTTCTCTCTGTGTTCTTGTGGGTTTCCTTTTGGTGCTGTGGTTTCCCCCACAGTCCAAAAGCATGTGATGTAGGTTACTTGAATAAACTATATTGGCTGTAGTGCATTTGAGAGTGTATGGGTGTTTCCCAGTACTGGGTTGAAGCTCGAAGGGCATCCACAGTGTAAACGTGTGCTAAATAAGTTGAGTTAAATGAATGAATTTATATCTAAATAAGATATTTTGAAGGTAAAGTGGTTGCTGAGATCCATTGACTTAAACTTTCTCTTTGTCTCTCTTTCTCTCTCTCTCTCATTCAAACTCATACAAAATACAGTAAATCCAGAGAAACACAATTTAAAGATGTCTCTCATTTTTTATTTACTTCTGTAAACTAAATGAGAATTAATCCAAATTTAACATTTAGGGTTTTTAATCATTTAGTTTATTTACAGTTTTTTACTGACGCTAGGACACATTTCTCAATACTAGGTCACTTTAGCAAAACTCTTCACACAGTGAGCACAACAGAAGTCTGTGTGGACAAAACATCTCTGAAATTTCATGAATTCTATTCTCACTCAGACACAACAACTGACAAAAATCTTTGTACGTACAAGACATTTTGTATGTGCTTACTACTGTTTTCAAAACTGTTAAACTTATGTTCTAAACAATAACATAATGCAAAACCGAGTAAGACAGCAAAATTCACCAGCAATATTTTATTAAAACATATTTCAAATCTAAAAATTCAGTTTATCCAGCCAGATTAGCATTACTATTGTATCTGTATCAGTGGATGGTGTGTGTACAAATTCTTGTATTTTGGAATTACTTAAACAAATAAAAATAAATAAACGACATAAAATATTGACGAATTCTGCGTAATGTCTGATTAATTCCAGTAACATATATTGTAGTTATAAACAATATATATTGCAATTATAAATGTTTTACACAAGAAAACACTGTGTAATGCTACATATGTTGTGTCATTGTTTTTGGGTAACAAAGTGTGTTTGTTGGCTGTCAACCTTTGCTAGTGTTCTATCTAGAATAATGATTTTATTTGAGACCTGAATGAAGTATTTTGGTAGTAGTGGTGCATTTTGAATGTGAAATGAACTGCTTTGCCAAGCTGAAAGTCGGTTAGGAGAATTGTGTAAAGAGTTTTGCAAAAGTGACCAAAGTATTGAGAAAGTCCTGGTAAGTATTGAGTGTCATAGCGTCTGAAAAAAAAACGTAACGCATAAAATAACACCTTGTTTTCATACTTTTAAAACTAATAGAAACAATTGATAATTTTTGCCCAACTATTACTTTAGATGACAAAACTGCTCAAACTTACAATATTCCTGAAATGGGTGTTATTTAGCGCTAACGCTTCTTGTTGACCTTTCCAAGATGGCGGCGCTTTTGACCAGTCGACTGCGCCATCTATGCTACGATCTATGATTGAGATCTTCCATTGGTGTAGTAACGCTTCGCCTCCTCGAACCTCAAGGAAATCACCGGGGTCACCTTTTATTCTTGTTTTCATTAAAACACTTCAAACGCCACTTTTCTACAGCTGGACAGTCATTGACGTTGTTTGGATTAAAGACCGACAGATGTCGCGCAGCAGGTTTTTGTGACAGGGCGCTGCCGGTGAAATCGCTGGGCGTGTGTAAAGATAACGCAAAACAAGGGCTGGATGTGGAAACTGTCAGGAACAGATAAACCTCAGTAACCGTCGACCCCGGACAAGTCGCTCTTTCTAACACTAACTGTGTGTCATGCAGTTACAAGTCAGTCCTGACACTCCGGTTTTCACACTGGTCATCTGACTATATACGCGAAGTTTAGACAGATGATGATTAGTTAGAGACTTGTGATATTCATTTGGTTTCGATTTTTCTTTAAATGTATGGGACAATGTTGCGAATGACAGGATTTGCTATCGGGAAACTGCAACAGTGTAGCATTACCTGCTGTCGGTCAAGTACTTTTCATCACTGGTCAACCCGGACATCAAGAACGTGGAGCAGGCAAGTGCGCAAAAATGGATCGTTTGATATCTGTGTGTTGCCTGTGTATAAGGGAAGAAACATATCCAAGCTCTCTTGTCTTAGAACTGAAGGGTTATTTTCACCTAAGCACTCCAGACACATAGTTGCTCTCTATAGCACATCTACAGACTCAAACCAAACCTCAAAGTCTGTGGTAAATCAGGAGAGCAGCGCGAAAACCACAGCGGACTCGTTACCTGTTCCCTCGGAAGATGTCAAGAAGCTCCTTCAGCTGGCGCATCCGCAGAGATGGAGACTGACAGGCAAGTCAACCGTGCTAGTGTTTTGTTTGTAACTTTATCTCTTAGGACTTTATCTCTTGTGCAGTGTAATTTAGAATTTAGCTTTTATTTATTTATTTATTTATTTAATGACATATGGCCATGAAGTACAGAAGACACTCTCTAAAATATCATTCAGTGTATCAATAGTTTATACACCAACAAATCATATTTAGAACCATTGTTTAGAACATGTATGATTTGTTGACATAATAAAAGACTGTATTTAAAGGTCACATTTTGTCCTAAAAATACAAATTTTTTGTCATTTGTGTCTGTGTGTGTGTAAATCAAAATCTTGATTATTTAAATGTTTTAACTTGATTACGATCATTTAACAAATATATATTTTTTGATTAATAACTTTTTTTTGCCCTCATAATTCACCTTACTTGCACTTTTGGAAACAAAATTAATAATTTTTATTATGTTTCTCATATAGTAAAAGTAATTTCATATTAGTAAGCAGTATCTCTTTTAAATAAAGTATCTCTTGAACATCCTGTAAATAATATTTTAAACAGTGCATTATTACGTCTTCTGTAAATAAATATTCTATTATAAATAATAATTTTATTGTGACTGAAAATATGCCGTCTCAAGGCATCTCTGGCGCAGCTTCCAATCATTGTCAATGTAGTGCAAACCTGTAGTTAAATTTTTTTAGAGCTGCGCAGGTATGCTACCACACAAAGGTTGTGCCAGATCATACCTGTGCATACTCAAAAGTAATTGAAAAAATTGACCTGGAAAAATTAGATCGATTATAGGTTCTGAATGTCTATTTCAATTACTTTTCAATTAATCATCCAGCCCAAATATGTATATATAATATATATATATATTACCGCGGCACCATATTTTGTTTGCTGTGATATATATTGCGACATGATTATAGTTTCACCAGATGATTTGAATAGCTCTATTTGGAAAGATTTCATTCATGTAGATCGACTGGGGTGATCAAGTGTTTTTCTAGGTCATAGATCTGCATAAATGTGAATTAATTAAGAATATATAAATATTACAGAGAACAAATAAAGGTTCAATAAACAGTGCTTTATGGTTATCTGGCATAAAACATTTATCAATTAAAAAACAAATTTTAGAACAATTACTTTTTTAAATTAATGGAGGTTTTTTTTAATATCTATGGCTTGTTTTGGAAATGACCTTCTGGATCTCCTTATAGCTGCTGTGGGGTTTCTGGTGATTTCCAGCACTGTCACCATGTCTGCACCCTTTTTTCTGGGAAAAGTGATCGACACCATCTACACCAGCCCCACCGAGGACTTCAGCTCATCCCTCACCTCTCTCTGCCTCATGCTGACAGGCGTCTTCCTCTGCGGAGGCGCTGCAAACGCTGCTCGTGTCTACCTCATGCAAATCTCAGGTGAAGTATGGATGGTGAAACAAGACAGATGCTTCATAGTGCAGTAGGTTACTTTTGGCTAAATATGATTTTGAAAGAGTGCAATGAAGAGCAGCACAAGTGTTACCAACATTGATAATGATAACAGTTTAAATAGCAATGGTTGGAACAAAAAAATTAAAACTTTGATTTAGATTGATTTGATTTAGATTCTTTGATCAAGATTGTTGTCAGTGCCAATGATTTAATGTAAAGTACATCGACACATGTACTCCAGTGCTCATGGCGACAAGAGTTCGATTCCCACCTCAAGGTCCTATGCTGATCCTTCCCCTCTCTTTGCTCCCCAAACTTTCCTGTCAATTCTCTCTATTGTCCTATCCAATAAATAAGGTAAAATAAAAATAAACTTTTATTATTGATTATTTACTTTTTTAGGCAGACAACCCATATTTGTCAAATGTGCTACTGTAGCATTAGCTACCTAAATATAGATTTTGGACCATCGAAAATGGTTTACAGTGACCCTCATTCACTTGCACTAATTGGTGAAAAATCCTGTAATGCTGTTCCTCAAATCCTTTTTTTCCTTTGCACAAAGAAACTCTGTTATGTGCATCCTGGATGGCCCAGGGCTGAGTAAATAATCAAGAATGTTTAATTTTCGTTTG